GCATTCAAATTCAAATACAACAAAAGCCGACATGCCGCAAATGTCAGATTTTTCGATTGAACCCTTCAACACTGGCAACATCTGCACCTTTTTAAACAAATAATTAACTGTCAACTGCAGAAGCTGAAAAAAAAAAAAATAACATGGAATTTGCCTCCCTACCATGCGACGCACCTTAAGTCCTCAAAACGATCACAACAACAACAACAACAACAAGAACTACACACAATCCCTACACAAACACACAGGCACACCCCAATTATAGGCAATTTTTGCAGGCGCTGCGAGAAATGTGAAAAATGAGAAATGAGAAAAATATAAATAAAATGTTGCTGAAGAGGGCTGTGAAAAATGTGCGAGAAAAATGATTTTTGCACGCCTCGGCGATGTCGACGTTGACAGGGCGCTAGGGCGGGTAGAGGGCGACGGAGTGACGACTCCAGCTGCCAGTGTCATTAACTCGACAAACCGCTCGACGGCATCGCAATGCGAGTTATGCGTATAAGTGGAGCGGAAGTGCACGCGCAGGGGGGTACAGGAGCAACAAATCAAAAAAAAAAGCAAGTACTTTAGGTGTGAAGCTCCGACTAGAAGATGCCCTGTACACAGATTTCGTGACAAGCATATGAGGTTCTCTTAAGCGATGCCCGAAAACAAAATAAATCCGCGCTTAACCTACACTTTAAATATTTATATATAAACTCTCTGGCAGACAAGCGAACAGATATAGGGGCATGTCCAGCTAGAGAAAGAGTATAGACAGCTTAATAAGTCTGAGAAGTTGGTCGTCCTGCCTCTTTCACACATTTGGCACAGGGTATTTAAAGTGATGTTGAGGCATTCGTTATGTCAACAAGCAACAATGAGAGAAGAGAGAGAAAGAGAGAGGGAGAGAGTGCAGTAGAGCAGGCAGCAGGGAATCCCGTTATGCGCATTACATCACTCATTTTGAGCTCTTATTTTTTTTTTGCTTGCGCGTTTGCATTTGTAATTGCTGGAGTCATAAGTCGCCTAACGACAAAGTTACCGCTATGCTCACCGCCAGACGCTTATTGCTCTCTCCCTGCAGCCCCCCCCCCCTTTTTTAATGAAGTGCAGCTCCAACAAAGCTCTCTTCGGGCTCAAAAGCTGCAGTCAAACGACAAATGTTTCGTTTTCTTGTGGGCAAAGTCACGGAGTGAAAAGGGAGGGGAAGTCTGCTCTGTAACCTTTTGTGCTCTTGCGGCACGTTCTGCCTTTGGCGTTCGCCCCACCATCTCGCTCTCGCTTTCTTTAGAGCATACAGATTTTGTGCTTGGCTGAACTTTAAGTGGCAAATGCGTTAATTGGGCATTAAATGTAACAACAGAATTTTTTTATTTAGTATACCAAGCACCAAGCATCTTTTTTTGTGCGAATTTTAGGTACAATTTTATTTAAATGCGTTAAACAATCTATTTTAAAGTCAAAGGTCAAAGTCGACACCAAAGGTAATATTGGGAAGAGTGCACTTAATTGATATCAGCTGTTATTTTATTCGATTGACTAAAGACTAAACAAGTAAGAGGTTCTAGTCGGGAGCTCCCGACTTAGGGATACCCTGAACCCTCTTTTTCCAACATCAAATGCATATATATATTCTATTTTAGAAGCTATTTACAAAAAAACAGGATATCGATATCGATTTTTATCGATTGCTTGGAAACGGAGTAAGTTATCGATTATCGGAAACAAACTCGATTTGCGCGGTAGCTAGGAGCATATACATCTAAAATTTTAAGTCTCTAGCTCTTATCGGTTCTGAGATCCTTGCGTTCATACATACGGACGGACGGACGGACAGACAGACGGACATGGCTAGATCGACTCGGCTATTTATGCTGATCAAGAATATATATAGCTTATGGGGTCGGAGTTGCTTCCTTCTGCCTGTTACATACATTTGGATTTTGCACAAATACAATATACCCTTATACCCATTTTTAATGGGTTCAGGGTATAAAAATACCCAATTTCCCTCTTTTAACTACCTTGTGACATATACATTTTACAACACTGGCTTTATAACTAGATGCCCATCGTCAAGAGTTGACATTTGTTTATATAAGTATATGTACTTATTTTGACCGTTATCATTGATATTATTACATTAGAAGTTTCATTTTTCTTCTACTTCAATTAACAAAACTATCTACGTTCGCACTGTTTTTTTTGATACTTTTTAAGCATCCTAGTATTTTCTGATTTAGGCAGGCCATGGGCCGGTTCCTCCATTTCGTAAATTTCCCTCGTAGTAGGCCTTGCATAGGGAATGCGAACTTACTTTTTGGCTAAGCCAATTCTGATTATTCACTTGCTTCTCCGCTCTCAGCGGAAGCAGGTCTCCTTTTTATTTTTGTGTGCTTGAATTATATTTTTTTTGTGTGATTTTTATTTTATTTGTGTGTGCCTGAAGAATTTTTTGTTTTCTTGTGTGAATGCTTACATTTTTGTTTTTTTGTATTTTCAAACATAAAAAGTACCTTTGACAAGGTTTATATTTTTGATTACTTTTTTTTCTTGATGTGCAACTTATCGAGCAGCGAAAGGCAAGAACGCCCTGCTTATTTTTGTTGGGAATCTTTTTGTCTCATTTTTTTTTTATTTTTTTTTTTTATAAAGTTATTTCTCTGTGGCTTGATCCTCACAAGTTAGCTGGATCATGATAGAGATTTAACTTCTTTAATTTGTAAATCTCTCTGACCTGGCTTACCGACTGTTGCGCATTTGCTTGACACGCGAATTCTTTTAAATTCCATGACATCCCGTCCTGGGAGGCTTAAAGACATCCTTACAAACAAATCGAACCATTAGTTGCTCTCCGAAGTGCCTTGAATCCGCCACCCCTTCTAATCGCGCGCCCGCGCTCTGTGTGCAAATCCTGGAGGGGTGAAATCGGGCTGAAAGGTAAATGCGTAGATTCCCACGAGCCAGGTAAGCAAGATAAAATAAAAACATTTCTGGCAAATATTTATATGCGAGCTGCTCCACGCAGTGTGTCAATGTGGCAATGTGCCGCCTGATTCTTGCTGCCTTGAAGCAGCACACCCCTGTGCACACGTTTGAGTATCAATTTCAAGAGATTTATGCGCTTGGCAAAAAGGCCATAAAATATTTATTGTCTTATGTTGCATGTTGCCAATGATAAGCAGCAGCAGATAAGCAACATCGAGAGCAACAGCCGAGTATTGCCGTGCACGGGAGAACTTTGTTTTCTAGGCTAGTTTAAGATTTTCAGCCTATCAGCCAGGACATTCGCTGTGTCTTTAATTTAAGTTGCTGCCGTTTTGCCTCAATATCCTCTTCGATTGAAAAGGGCCGTATCTTTTATTTTTCTGATTACAATTTCATAAATATTCATGATGTTGACGAAATCTTGTGGGCCGGTTTGTAGCTCGTTTATTATCTTATACACGTGTCGTAGGACCATTTTTAAAAATCTCATTTTCTATTCATTTTTTTTTTTTAATACAGAACTTTTGAATATATGTAGGTTTGGTTGTCTCTCAATTGTTTATTTCTTTTCTTTTTAATATATGAATTTAAACGCTTTTAAGTACGTTTTAAGTACTTTTTGAGATATACATTGCACAACACTGGCTTTATAACAATAAAATGTTTTATGTTGCATGTTGCACGTTTAAGATTTTTAGCCTATCAGCCAGGACATTCGCTGTGTCTTTGATTTAAGTTGCTGCCGTTTTGCCTTAATAACTCGCTTATTATTTTATAAACGTGTCGTAAGACAATTTTTAAAAATCCATTTTCCATTCACTTTTTTTTAATACTGAACTTTTGAATATATGTATGTTTGGTTGTTTCTCAATTGTTTATTTCTTTTCTTTTTAATATATGAATTTAAACGCTTTTAAGTACGTTTTAAGTACTTTTTGAGATATACATTGCACAACACTGGCTTTATAACAAGATTTTTAGCCTATCAGCCAGGACATTCGCCGTGTCTTTAATTTAAGTTGCTGCCGTTTTGCCTCAATATCCGCTTCGATTGAAAAGGGCCGTATCTTTTGTTTTTCTGATTACAAGCTCTTATATATTTATGATGACGAAATCTTGTGGGCCGGTTTGTAACTCGCATATTATTTTGTATACGTGTCGTAAGACCATTTTTAAAAATCTCATTTTCTATTCATTTTTTTTTTAAAACAGAACTTTTGAATATATGTATGTTTGTGTGTTTCTCTATGGTTTATTTTCTTTTTTTTTAATATATGTAATTTGAACGCTTTTAAGTACGTTTTAAGTACTTTTTGAGATATACATTGCACAACACTGGCTTTATAACAATAAAATGTTTTATGTTGCATGTTGCACGTTTAAGATTTTTAGCCTATCAGCCAGGACATTCGCTGTGTCTTTGATTTAAGTTGCTGCCGTTTTGCCTTAATAACTCGCTTATTATTTTATAAACGTGTCGTAAGAAAATTTTTAAAAATCCATTTTCCATTCACTTTTTTTTAATACTGAACTTTTGAATATATGTATGTTTGGTTGTTTCTCAATTGTTTATTTCTTTTCTTTTTAATATATGAATTTAAACGCTTTTAAGTACGTTTTAAGTACTTTTTGAGATATACATTGCACAACACTGGCTTTATAACAAGATTTTCAGCCTATCAGCCAGGACATTCGCTGTGTCTTTAATTTAAGTTGCTGCCGTTTTGCCTCAATATCCTTTTCGATTGAAAAGGGCCGTATCTTTTATTTTTCTGATTACAAGCTCGTATATATTTATGATGTTGACGAAATCTTGTGGGCCGGTTTGTAACTCGCATATTATTTTATACACGTGTCGTAGGACCATTTTTAAAAATCTCATTTTCCATTATTCACTGTTTGTTCTTTTTTTTAATACAGAAAAAAATATTGGCTATTTTTTCTTTTCTTTTCTTTTTATATAGTTTGAATGCTATTTTTTTTAAATAGATATTTTATTTATTAAATAGCTTTTAAAGTCGCGGTTGCCTTATGCGCTATTTGTGTGTCTTTAGTTGTGAGTTGCCGGGTTTTTGACAATGTACAAATTTCAAAATTTCAATTTTAACAGCCGATTTCTAATTTTCTCATCACATACATTTTTTGGACTGTATCCTGATAGAAAAGAAGAGAGGTGATAGTTGTATTTTTCTTTGGCTTCGGTTTGGGTTTGGTATTCCATTTGAACAGGGTTATAATGCATTTTCTTTATAGCCTGATCAATTATTTACTTGCACAATAAAAAAAATCGTCGAAACTTCATCGGATAACCAACTTAACCATCATTGTGCTTATAGTAAGACATTTCGTAGTCTTATCATACAATATCTCCCAAGCCTTAGAAATTTTATTTGCTTAATGTTTGGCGCACTGAATAGTGATCTTTTCCGTTTCCTTCGTTGACCAGATACAATATTTTTAACTTTCTGGTTGGTTTTTTCATTTGTTTCTCTACTGTAAAATATCTCATTTTGGCTCTTTTTTTTTAATAACCATTTCGTAGATTTTTTGTCCTATGAATTATAATCAATTAATTGCAATGTGGCGATTTTATTTTATTTTTCTTTCCTTTATATATATCATTGTCTAATTCCGCCCAACTGCTGGCATTTGTTTTAATTTCCATGAATTTCTCATCTAACACTGAGCAGATATCTTGGAGTCGAGCCCGACAACTATTATATATTTTAATCTAAAATTTTAGTACAGAATTTGATTAGTTTTATTTTTGTATTTCGAATTCCATTTAACTACTGGTCCATACATTTTGCTTTATTAATGTTAATAAATATATAATCTTGATTGAAAAGAATTGCTTTTAGCAATATTAAAGCCCGCTGCTAAAATATACTCGGGTACTATTTTCGTGGCACAAATATTCATTCAATTCGAATTGGAATTTTTTTAAATTTAAATCTGCCCGCTTTTTGGGTAATAATTAAATTTTTTTGGTACACGTTGACAGTTAAGCATTACGAGAGTATCTTTGTGTCTATTTAAAGGTTGGTTGTCTGGCTGATTGCCTAGTCTACAGGTGCAATACCCTTCATTTTGTGACCATTGCAAACAAAAAGGCTACGGGCTCGGCTATACATGACACGTATTTAAAACAGCGTGAGTGTAAATTACTCTGATTTTTGTTAGGTAAATTAAACATGCCGAGGCTATGGTTCGAACCATTGTTCGTGTTCAGTGTGCCCACGCTTTATCCACTTGTAAGACTTGCAAATTGCTACTCAATTTGAACCAGCCACCTTCCGCTGGATAGGCCAAAACGTTTGTACCCTTCTCTTCTTTTTAATACAAATTTTAAGTGCTCACTTTCCATCAAATAACTTTTGGGCTGTGCGTTGCAAATTCTTGAACATATGTAGACAGATATCGTACAACATTTTAATTAAACTCCTTTGAGTTGTTCTCTCTGTGAAGTTCTTAACAAGCAGTCTCAAGTTCAAAAAGACATGCCAATAGCCAATTTATGTCTGCTGTGTTATGTCAACAATTCAGTTGACATTCAGGTAGGCATACATATTTCAGACCTTACCCCCCCATCCCATCCCATCCCATCCCATTCGAAATGCTGGCTATTACTCGGGCATTGTCTCAGCTGGCAGCTGGCAGCTGGCGTCACCTGTGGATGCTGCCGTATTCAATCAGCTAATAAACTTGGATGCAGACGCTCGAAAGTGATTATTGATTTAATTACACATCAAAGTGATGCCAAACGAAAACAAAGACTAAGATGTTGCTGGAGATGTTGTTGGGCGCAGCGGTAAGGAGTCTCCGCCAGTGGCTGCTGCGTCAAAGCAATAAAATGCTAATGAATTAATTTTCGCAAGAACTTTGCAATGAAGTGAATATTTTGAGCTCCAGGCACAAAGTCCACCCAACGCCCCCAAGTGAAAGACTTCCTTCCGTTATTAGACTGGCATGGCCCGAGGTATTCGAGTAAGTAGGCTGCAGTAAATTAAATGAAGTATTATTAAATTTAAGCATGCAAATGAATTAGTCATAATATTATTAAGCTTGCCTGTCGTTGCATCAAAGTGAGTTTCGAGTATCGAATATTTCAGCAAATTTATTAAAGGCCCAACTATTTTTTAAAATTATAGTTCGATTCTTTGGCTTGGGAGTTGCTCCGGGCTTAAGCCTGGCTTGTTTCATTAAGGGAAACAGACGCGCGAGCTGCAACTAGAATATTGCAAGTTTTATGTTATGTTTTATGTATTTATTATATAATATCAAATAAGTAAAGGTCTTCCATCCTTTCTATACAGGGCATACAAATGCTTTGCTGTTCAATCAGTTTGGCTCGCTGAAATTGAAACATTTTTCAGCATTAGCTAAACGTGCACAAAGCAAATACAAAACAGGCGAATGAGTGTGAGACATGAGAGGGAAGCTGCGCGAAAGCAATTTCCTGGGCATTTTTTGATTTGTTTGCGCAAGCACAGGGCATAAAACCAAACGAATTCTGAGTTGGCTGGCGTGTATCTCAAAGATACATCGAACTTGGCTAATGCTAATGAAACGCACGCACCCACTCGAGGGCTGGGCAAATAGGCAGCGCGGGGGCTCGAGCAGGCTGTCCCAACAATGGCACGGAGCTCGTAAAAAACTCGATGATAAAAATCAAAGAGCTCGTTGGAAAAAAGAGCCAGCAATTCAATACGCATCGCAGTCCACACACAATTCGCCTTTGCCACTGACCGCAAAGCAAACTTTTTCCCGCCAGATTTATGCGGCAATTTTTGGCTTTGAAATTGTTCGCGCTGGCCGCAGCCCAACCTCTGCCGCCTCTACGATGAGGCGAGTACAACCTGTAGCATTTGGGGTAAACTTTCGCTTCTATTTACATTTTATCGCTTGAACGCACTTTTTATCTTTGGCTTGACTGGGCATTGATGGTTGTGGGGGCAGGGGCGTGGCATCTAAATTTTAAATTGAAAATTGATTTTTGCCAATATATGTGCCTTTGCTTTATCTTTTTTTTCTGAGTGATTTGCCGTAGCTTTGCTTTTGGTCAAATATTTTGCGATTGAGTTCACTTTTGCTCGCAGGTCGGATTGAAGAACCATTTTGCAAAGTGCTGGGAACGACGACTGAGTGCAGGGGGCATGGGGCACGGGGCAGAGGCAGGGGCAGAGGCAGGGGCAGGGGCAGGGATGGGTGCACCAGAATTGGCATTTGGACATCATAAGTGCGCCTCACTGAGTTCCCATTTTGCTGTTTAAACGCGCAATACAAGCAAAGCAGCGCTCCGTTGAACATTTTTGTGGCATACTTTTGGGCGTTCGGGAATGACGCAATCGAAATTTCGGAATATTTTATATGACGCGGGGAAATGAATATAAAAATAATATTTTGGCTAAAATGGGGTTTGAATAAATTAATCAAATATTGCGCAGTAGATTCTGTATTTGTTCTTTAACAACGACTCCCTAGGCGATGTATCCTTGTTTTTCGTTTTGATATTCTTGATTCCGAGAGAAATTGTTTTTGTTCCTTATCTGAATATTTGCTAGTAGAGCAGCAATATGTCACGGACCAAAGTATTGGCAGTTGTGGTGTTAACTAAAAATTCAAAGCTCGTTCTCTTTCACCTTTACAAGCATTTGATGGTACTCATTCGTACACGGACTATATTCGAATCTGAGCTGGGCAGCCCGCTTTTGTAGCTCTGGCCAACACGGTGAACGATGCATCCAGTAGATGTATATTCAATTAAAGATATTGTTAAGCTAGCCACTAGAGCGCAGCTAAGGTGGACTCACAATCGTTCCGACGGGAAGGCTTGACACCACGCGCTGGAAGCTGATGGGACACATCAGAGGATCATTGTTGGAATCAGGTGAGAGAAAACCAAAATTTCATCAGCTAACAAACTCATCTATCAGAACTGTGTTCTTCCATCATCAAAGTTGAAGAATAACTTCTGGCGACCTGTTTCTGGATAGGTACTTGCCTGTGTAGATGTGCACAGAGGCACAGGTAAGTCTAATAACTTAAAAAAGAATTTTCACTTAAAGCTGATCAAGAAATGTAATACCTAACATTTGATTCCATATCAGCTTTTTGGATGAAATTTGCTTTGAATTATGCGGACATACGATGAAGTCTTCTTATAATAAAGAAAAAAAAACTGGCAAGGAAAATATCGAAAATTAAGACGTCACATAACCGAAGCCAAATTGAAATTTAAACTGTTTATTTCTGGATCTTAAGCGGAAGCTAATATTTTAAAAATCAAATTAAATATTTCGAAAATAAAATAAAAGTCATGTTAACTAACAATTAAAATAGAAACTAAATGATACAAAATTATTTTTAAACTGTATATTTAGATATTGTCTTTGGTATTAACCGGGTTTGCCTAGACCAAGTTTTTTTTTTGGAAATTTAACTAATATTTTTGACCCTTGGGATAAAGAGGACTACAATTTTTAAAAAGGTTTTAAATTAGTTCTTCATTTTCAAACTTTAATAATGGATTTTCAGAAAGCTAAAAACACTGCTCAAGTGAATTTTCATGAAAATAAGTTCAGTTCGAAAAGGCTTACATATATAAATTTAGGTAACATTTTCTTTAAGCTGTGAAACGCCTTCAAGCCAAATATTGCTGAAGTCACTTTGCGTCTATTGATTTTCTGGTGCGTGTAAGGCGGGAATCCTTATCACAATTTGCTGTAACAGTTAGCAAGTAAATTTGAAATAATATCAGGACAGTCTCCTGGCGATTGTAACTGGTGTGGCAACATGAAAAAACCCGGTCATAAGCCTATCAAAACGTTTTTATTGGATTCGTGCACGCGGCAAGCGAAGCCAAGCCAAGCCCTCGCACATGGGGCTGGGGCTTCCCCAATAGACCCGAAAGCTGGGAAGGCAAAGTCGACGACAGTTTCGCGTGTGTTTGCACTTTTCCGGTCGTTTTTCTAGCTTTTCCAGCCGGCGTCTTGGCCAGGCTAAACAAAACAAAGGGGGTTGGTTTTTCGGCTCAAATGTTTAGAAATTGATAGCGACGACAAATCATACGCGTACCTTGGCTAAGCTGCGAAGTCAACTGCATTTTTGGGGTTGGCTCATAACTTAGTGGCAACAGGACCCGCACCACCGAGACCGAAGCTATTTGTCGTCTTGCAACAATTTGCTGGCCTGCTAATAAAATTTGATAAGCCAAAGTGGAGCGCCAGACAGCCAGCCATCCAGCCAGACATAAAATGTTGTCCCACTGCACGCAAATTGGGGATAAATTTAATGCGACTGCGGCGGGGCGTGTAATGTGCGGGGAGTGACAATGCCACTAGCCCAGCAAAAGCTCCCCCAATCAATTTGAAAGTTAATTTGTGCCCGGGGCATGCATAAAAATGTGACCAAATGCTGCCAGGACACGAGGGATACACCGAATGCGTCTTCGTCCAGGCGGCTGCTGCGTTCATTAGCCATAAAAATTTGTGTTCGTTACCCATCAGAGTTTGCACTCTCCCTCTCTCTCTCTCTCTGTCATTCTCTCTCTCTGTCTCTACTGGTGCTCTTTGATTTATTCGATGTGTTTTGATTTGCGCCATTTCATTCTATTCTATTTGATGGCCAGCCCCTCGTTTCTCTTCTGGCCATTTGCTGCATGCGAAATGCATTTTTGATGACAGTTAATGGAGTTTTTACTGCCTTTGAAGCGCGCTTTATGGGAGATACAACAGAACAGAACAGCCCCGGCTCCTCGAAATGGGACCCATTCCCCTGACAAAGCTTACTTGGCATCTTTTTGTTTTACGTTTTTTTGGGAGGCTTCGAAGTTGGTTACGCTGTGCAAATGATTGAGGGTTGGCTTATTTTATTAAGGGCCAGCCAGACACAGAGTTTTATAAAAACTTTTTTTTTTTGTTTGAAAATAATCCACAGTCTATAAAACGATTTTTGATGCTGTGTTGTTCATTTTGCTTTTTATAGCTATTCATAAATAAAATTTGTACACTTTTCGCAAATTTATAATGTTCATAACAAAGATTATTACCCAACTTTGTTTAAACATAAAGTAACAAGAAATTTGAAATTATATTTATGTTATGAAATACTAAAATAATTGAATGCTTATTTATATTTTTAATTTTGTTCTTAGAAAATGTAGTGTTAAATTTGTTGTTTTTGTTAGTTCCGTACAACAATAAATATGAGTGAAAAGTATAAAAACAACATAATTTTACTAACTTAAAATAATATCAAGAAAAAAAAAAAAAGGAAAACAAACTCAAGATTTAACTATAATTATTATTTAATTATTTTGTTTTTTCCACAAAACATCATTTTTGCTATATGCATACCAAATTTGTAAAGATTTGTTAATTTAAATCAAATTGTTCCCTTTAAATATTCTATTCAAAATTTTAGTTGCAGCCCTTTAGGCGCACTTCGAAGAAATGAGCTGCAAAGCGGCAAAGCGAATGTAAAATCAAGTCAAATATTTGTGGAGCACACACACACACACACATACATACATAACTAGAAATGACAATGTCACGGCCAGGAAAAGGCTTTGACAAACACACTCGAGTCAATACACACATTTACACACGCACACACATATGTAAGTATGTGTGTATCTGCATGGCAAACAAAAACGGAAAACAAACTTTTTCCTTTGGCTGGGTTGAGGCTGTGGTGCCCAGGAAGCGGCACAGACGCAGCCAGGACACTTTAATGCTGCTCAAAATTGGATTTGTGCTGCTTAGGCGGCTGCCCCAACCAACTACCGCCCCCCTCCACCACTGCCCCTTCGCTCACATGCCGATAAAGATTTTTATAGTTAGGCCTGCCGCCAGCTTGCCACAAGTCATGGCTCAACCTCAGCCTTTTTTTCCTATTTCTTTGCATTGCTCCGAATCTTTTCTATTCCCCAGCTGCACATTAAGTTTTTTCGCCAAGCGTGTATGTGTGGGGGGGGGGGGGGGGGGGGGGGGGGGAGTGGGGGAGGCAGCCAGACTGTCCCTGTGTTTATGCTTATTTAAAAAAGTGGCAACGCTTCAGAGTTTTGATTTGATAAAGCTGAAAAGAAAATGCCAAGAAAATGATAGCAGCACGCAAGTGTGTGTGTGTGTGTGTGTGTGGGTGGGTGGGTGGGTGTGTGTTTGTGTATTTTGCTGTGTTTAGGTGTCAGTTTAAGGCTGATAAAAACTCATGCTCATGCCAGCATTTATGCAAGTCACATACGCACGAAGCTTTTAATAATAAAAACAACGAGCGCCTGTTATATAAAAACAAAGTAAGCGATGCGTCAAGGGACGTGGGTGGGGCAGGACTTTGGGCAGGGGCTGTGCGTGTAAATGTTTTTATGCGGCCGTGAGCAGCAGTGAAAGCGAAGCCCGACTGAGAGTCCTTTACGCAGCTGCTTGCATTGCATTGCCACAATTTTTACACTTTAGCCAAAAGTTTCTCTTATCAACAAAAACCAAAATCATCATAAGCATGAGAGACTGGCTAGACAGAGACACCAAAATTTATATACTCTTGCAGAAATGCGACTTAAGGTCAATTTTGAAGCTCGTAATTGCTGAGTTATTATTTTTCATACAATGACTTAATATCCGACCGATCGTTCTTATAGCAGCTATATAATATAACGCCAGATCAAGAATATCTACATGAAGTTGTCTGCTATGCGTTACACATTTCATGACATATTTAAAATGCCCTGCTAAAAGGGTATGCAAAAGCATATACAAAATAAAAAGTAATCATTACATGCATACATTAGGATTGTGATTATTAACAAGAAGGAAAAAATAAATAAAGTAAAAAAGCTCTCTCAACTTCAACAAGATAAAGCACTTTGCTGGTACAAATAAATCTGCGTTATTTAATGGATTTTAAATACAATACTAAATGTTATTATTACGACCTGTCCATCTTTAAGGTGCGCAAAAACCTTATACAAATTAAATATGATTATTTTGTATTATTATTAAATTCGTTTTAATTGGCATTTTAATTTAACACGCGTTAAAAGTGAAACATTTGTATACTTTTAGTTCTTCAGTCGTGCGCTGATTTTGGCTTTTGAAATAAATTTGTAAATTTTGTTATAAGAAATGAATGGAATGATCATATTTCCAAAAGTAATATCGAATAGGACATGATTTCCTCCAAATAAATAAAAATTAAACCTGTAATAACTAAACAAACTAAAACAAAACCTATTAAAAAATGTCACAGTGCTTAAATCAACCTAAAGAATCGTTTTCTTCTGAAGGTTTTAGATCATTTTGTAGAAGCAATTGATTCGGAATCTTATTTCAAAACAGGCAGGAAACACATGAAACTTAAATCGAGAATATCTCAAGAGAGTAATATATTGAAAAGAGCCTTCAGCTGCGGATAGGCACAACAATTGGGACCACAGATGATCACATCCGAATAGATCTGATGCTCTCGACTGTATGTCAAATTCTTGATATTGGTAAACTTGGGCTGGGTTACGCGCTTCAGCAGATCGCGAGACTCCAGCGCATAGCACAGCTTGCCGCACAGGCACTTGGGCGCTTCCGAGATGAGTTCGATGAGTATGGCAGGCAGTGTACTCGTCGAATAGGGCAGTTTATGCGTAGAGACCACGCGTGCCGCCTGCAACCAGAGCGGCGTGGGCGTGTGTGTGGCAGTTGTGAGTTGCACCTGGGTTTGAGCGGCTTCCACATTAAAACCCTTGAAACAGTTGCCCCACACGTCCAGCAAATCTATATGCAGATCCTCAATGGCAGCGGGCAGTGATTCTAATTTATTGCTGGACACATGCAGCGATCGCAGCTTTTGAAGGCGACGTATGGCGAAAGGCAGGTGACGCAGCTTATTATGGTTCAGATTGAGCGTGACCAGACTCTCGAATCTGACCAATGGCGGTGGAAAGTAGCTGAGTCCGTTAGCCGACAAGTCCAGCTCGCAGAGGGACTGACTCAGTTTGCTGCCACGCAGCCAGCACCAGTCGTTCAGCTCGCCTAGTGCATTACCGCTCAAATGCAGCGATGTCAGCGGCAGGCGACCCAATTCTGTGGGTATCTATGCGGGTAAATGAAATGAAATGAATATGCATTATAAATCAACAACGTGCTTATTACCTTTACTAGCTTGTTGCCACTGACATCCAGCGTGGTTAGATTGCGCAGAGTGCAAATCTCAAAGCTGAGCTTCATCAATTGGATATTGTGGATGGTCAGCGATTTGAGAGTGCGCGGAAAACCTTTAACTGGATACTCGCTGCGTTTATTGATGGTCATGCGCAGCTGCGGCTGTGCCTTCTGTGGTATGGCGGTTGTGTTGGCTATGTTCAGTCTCAGATTGATGGCATCCTTGCCCTCCATGCCCAGCTTGAGCGTTTGCAGAAAACCCTTTAGCTGTATGGGATCACATTTGATGAGCAGATTCTCTGCCGGCTGCTTAAAGCCAATGGTCGCCTTGCCGTCCAGCACGAATTTGGTGTGCACGCAGTGTATATTATCGCGCACCTTGTACCGTGTGCCAGCCTTCACCTGGGGCGTAAACAGTACCATTTCCAGCTCCTTTTTGGTGTTGCCATTGGAGTCGCGCGCGCTTTGCTTGTAGCCAATGGCCAGCGTTGATTTTACGGCCCGTGGAGTGCGATTTGCCTGCGTTGTGCGATTTAAGACCTGCACCTCGCATAATATTTTCATTGCGTGGCTGCTTTGGCTTAAAATAAACAGAAATAACGCCAAAAAACTAATTGTTATTTCTTAAGTTGTTAAAACGGCTTTGACTCGCTCGCGGTGTTGCCATCTGGTTAATTGTCAAACAGCTGACGCCAGCCGATAGCTGCAATAATCGATAACACAATTTGGCGCGCTATTAAATAAAAACAAAATATGAAGTAATGAAAATATGATGTAATTGAGTAGTGTAAATTGCAACACTAATATAATTTAATGATATAAATTAACAATGGTCACTAAGTTCTTAATGTTGTTTTGGCATCAAATCGGCATCAGCTGATTATACAAGGAACTAGTTCAAAAAATCCAAACAGCTGCAGCTTTAAAGCTTAGGACTAGCCACAACATCGAAAGTAGTTATAAAACAAAACAAAACATTCAATCTTACTGGTCAAATTGTTGTATATCTATTTACCAAAATCACGGGTTTGCCCACACAGCACGCTAAACGCAGGAAAATGATATTTCGGAAAGTTGTCCGCTTTCGACGACAGTTTCTGCCATTTTATATGTTCAATGGATTCTTGTGACAACGCAACGACACGCGTTATCAACGCTTGCGTTATAACAATTGCGATAACATTCAACAAAGGCGGGAACTAACCGTAAGTGCACTTTATTTGTTTGTCAACGATGCTGTAAGGGTGCAAATTTATGCAAAAGTCAATAACTGCATAACAGAAAACAATTGAAGCTTTCGAAAGCTTGCAATTGCGAAAGCTTTGCTTAAATGGCGGGCAAAATATTTGAACAACCATTAGCGCATAAATATATATATGTAAGTTTTACAATGGTTTTAACAGCACAACAGCTTACTAGCCAGCGATGTAAGCCGCAACGTGGTTATCAATATTGATAACTGTGCGCTTTATAGTACCAATGTAAGTAATATTCTGTGTACTATTAATATATATAAATATAATATTAATTTTGAGCATTTTGCATGATCTGGCAACCTCAACAACGCTCAACAGTTGCACAGCGCGCAGAACAGAGCTGATCATCAGCATCGGCAATCGTCATCGCTCAGCTATCGATCACTCCAGCAACGCAAGCGCCAACGACGCGAGCGCTTTTTAGTTATATTTCGTTATTTTTGCGCGACAGTCGCATTCGCACTGACTGTCGCCTGCGTCAACTACACGTTCCACACAATGGGTTGGTTTTTTGCGGTACTGGTTGCGCTCATCGCTTTGCTGCTAACAAGGTCTTGGCGCTGGTTCTACATTGCGGGAGCAACAGCCAAACGAGATTTAACGTGAGTTTCGTGTGTGCGTGTGTGTGTGTGCGTGTGTGTGTGTTTCTATGATGCGTATGTTTTGTTGTGTGCAAGTGTGGTGTGCGCCCTAACGTTGATTCGTTTACAATACCGCAAGTGGTGTGCATTTCAATACAATTTACATTTTCTTTTATAAGTCCATTTGAGCGTTCCCAACTCAACCGCAAACAGATCGTCGCCTGGACGTATACTTTGCCCCATTGTACCCAAGCGCAAAGCAAGTAAAAAAAGTCATAGAACAACTCGTTTCTTGCCATCTATTGGGGTCGAGTGTCTGCAGCAGCCATTATGTACAGATTTGAGAAAAGCTACAGCTGAAGTTTTCTCTTTTCATAATTTTCATGCACATCTGTTAACTGGCCTTTCGACTTGATTGGCATGTAAACAAAACATATGCCTCAATGTGTCATACATTTGGGCTATCAGTTGTGCATAGTTTTTTATCGTAGCTTCTTTTTTTATTGCCAGTCATTGACTTCTTCAGGTTCAAGGTCGCTGCAAACGATGCCAGTAGGTGGCAAAAACACAAAAAAAAACCAAAACAAACTGAAAAATCAAATTCACTTTTAATACACCATTGAGCGGTTGGCCCAATCCATGCGATAATGCGTGAAGAGTGTCTGCAACGCATACTAATTTTTTTTTTCTTTATCGTGTCTCTCTTTGAGTGGGGCGGAAGAAGCAGAGTTGTAGCTGCTGGCACAGTTACTGACGCGGACGTCGACGCTGACGTCGACGCCGACGTTTGATCAGCGCACGAACTGTTCTTGAAAACGTCGTCGTGCCACTTGCTTTTGGGGGTTTTATAATTGTTTTTTTTTTTGTTTGTTGTCGTATTTGAATTCAATTTAAATTTGCGGAAGTATCACATTTTGTTGCTATGCTTAGCTAGGGTTGCCAACGCTCAGCACTAATTTCATGTAAATGCCAATTATAAATGCCCAAAGTGGGCAGAGAGGCCGCTGATCTATGGAAATTTCCGTCGCACGATTCCGAGGTGTTTGACAAAAAAATGAAAATAGAAAATAGCCCACTGGGTATTATACTATCCTAAACACGATATAGATATCGTGTTAAAATTTAGTAGAATTACCTTGTACTAAGCAACGTTTTTCAGATTGAAATTGATGTTATCTCTCGATCATGAGCTTAATTTGTCAAATCTAACTAACTTTAACTCAGCATCTAAGGCTTGGAAGTAACAAAATTAAATTTCCCTTTAATTAATATTCACACAGATCTTATAAAAGTAATTGGAAACTTACATAGATTTTTAGTAAAAAATATGCATCAACTATAAAAGTATTAATTTAGCCGCTTTTCACGTATTTTCCACTTCCACGAAATGTTCCTAATGAACATTTTAGCGCTCACTTAAGACATAAAAGATAAATGCTGTGGAAAGTTAGGGAAACTTTAAAGTGTAAGAATGAATGGAAGTTTTTATTTTCTTATGAAAGAAAAGGTTCCGGCTTATAAAAAACAGCTGTTGAATGATGATTGCAAGATGCATATACAACAATTAGAAGCTGCTAATTATAAACTCTGATAATTAAAATCTTCTTCATGTTTTGAAAATACAATACCCTTCAGTAGTTATATAGATCAATGGTATATTATATATAAGTAAATTGGCATTGAGATGGAGTCGAAATTTGCGCACTGACGAATTGCTGAAAATCAGCTAAATTCGTTTTTATGGCACAAAAACACAGCAACAACAGCTCAGATCGAGCTCTGAGCAGCAAGGCCAGGTGTATTTCAAGTTAATGAACAAGATTCTTAAGATCGAGCTTTCCGCCGCAAGCGGTTTCTTGACGACCTTGCGTAACTCGGCTCTGTATACACTATTCACACACATGGCATAATGTGCACGAGCTTGGATATATATGTAGATACATATATAAGAGGTTTTGTGTATGTGCATCGTATTAAAATGCCAATTGTCACTTTATTGCTTATTGAAGCACTTAAACAAATTCCAATTACATATAGCTGAATTAATTTTTAGCACGTCGCCATGGGCAATAATCCCCAACTACTTAGGCGCACAATCTTATCAGCTATGCTACACTTTCTATCAAGTGCAAAGCACTCTCGAGTGCTGGGCAAATCGAGTGCAGCTTAAAAATTCCATAGATTCGATAGATTGGGGGGTGCTTTATTAGCCAGCCGTAAATTACGATTATTAACTGAATTAACTTTCCTTTATGCTCCATATATAAGTGTATACAGACTTTCCTCAAGCCAAGTAGTTTTTAGTTTCTCCTAGACGGGCAGGTTAAACCGTTTTTATACCCTTATAGAATGTATTATAAACTCGTTTTGTACTGTGTAACGCATAGAGGGAGATGACTCCGACCCTTTCAAGTATATATATATTCTAGAGCAGCTTCAACGGCCCAGTTGATATAGCCAGGTCCACCTGGCCGGGCCGTCAGTCCTGTTTCTATGCGAACAAGTCTCTTAGTTGTAAAGCTATCGTCTTGAAACTCTGTACAGATCTCTCTATCATATAGCTAACATAGAAACGATCGTTCGAAAAATAGCTGTCTTGATAAACTCGCCATTAACTAGTTTCACTATGTTCCTTACATATATGCCAATGCTTATCAGCATCGAACTACTATATCAGGTCGGTCGGTCGAAAAGTAGCTTATATGGCAAAAATATTCTTACGTGCTTCACTATTCTCACATATCTGCAAAAGGGAAATGTCTACAAGGGTATCAAGTCTTCGGCGTGCCGAATATATACCCTAGTTTCTCTTTTGTTTATTTACTTAGTACATCGGAGTAACCTTTGGCCTGAGCTCATTTGATTTACATTCAAATGTTAAAATTACTAAGCACTCTAGCTTCAGCTGTAATTGACGAAACTCTTATACATTATATTTAATTCCATATAGCTGTTTAGCCTAACAGATTATTCTTAACTGGTTTACGTTGTGTTTTCCAAAGTATAGAAGGCAAAGTCTTATTTTCAAGTATAAATCCATCGTCTAAAATGCTTTCTACTTCAATTAACTTTGGGTATTTCTCCGCATAAGTGGAATAGTCAGAGTGAAGCATACCTTGATCGGATATATTCCATTTGAAATGAATATATATTAAGTACATATAGCGTATATAGCAAATATATTATATCATTTACATATATTGGACTTGTACTCAATTTTCTATTTGAAAAGTCCAAGCGAATTAACAATTTCATTTACTTTCGCTCTTAAGTTCACATAATTTTAGTTTTATTGCCATTTCGAATCACTTCAAGCTGTTTTCCCAGGCACAGTTAATTGCAGTTGGCCCCCTCTTTGCCCCTCCGACAGTTTGCCATGATGATACATATGTACTTTAGGCCTTATCTGGGTTATGGTTGCGCTTGTCCAACGCTTGAGCTATTTTGGTTTGTTTTCACAATCGGCCCATAAAACACGCAACTCCGGCAGATCGATTGATAATGTATACTGTGCAATTGTGCGGCATATCGCTAATCGTGCTTGTTACTCTTCTTCTTATAACAATATTCCTCCTTCCTCTACGGCTTGCAGTGCTCTGTGGGCCTATGGAAAGCTGCTGCGTTACACGAAACGGCACGAACGCCTCAACCATACCGTGGCCGATGTGTTCGAGGAAAATGTGAATGCTCATCCGGAGAAGACAGCCGTGATTAGCGAGACACAGAAATGGACATTCCGCCAGGTGAACGAGCATGCGAATCGCGTGGCCAATGTGCTGCAGGCGCAGGGCTATCGGAAGGGCGACGTTGTCGGTCTGCTGATGGAGAACCGTGCCGAGTATGTGGCCACCTGGCTGGGTCTATCCAAAATTGGCATCATCACGCCGCTGATCAACACGAATCTGCGCGGCCCCTCGCTGCTGCACAGCATCACAGTGGCCCATTGCCATGCGCTCATCTACGGCGAGGATTTCGTTGAGGCCATGTCCGACATAACCAAAGATCTGCCCAACGATCTGACACTGTTCCAATTCAATAACGAGAATAACAACACCCAATCGGAGGCGGTCAAACAGGCCAAGAATCTGAATACGCTGCTCTCCGCGGCCAGCACTCAGAAACCCGGCAAGGCTCAGGTGGATCATCATGACAAGCTGGTCTACATCTATACATCGGGTACCACGGGTCTGCCCAAGGCGGCTGTCATCTCCCACTCACGGTAAGTCAGCAATAATGTTTCTTTTCACACTTTATACAGATAGAGACTAGACATAAACTCATGCAAATTATTTGCATTTAACAAATGAATAACAAATATTTACCTTTGAAGTTAAGAACTTCCAAGTTATGGAGAAAGTTGCAGCTCACATTTATTTAATCTATTTTTGAATGTATTTGAGTGTCTTCTTTGTCTTAAGCAATTACTCGGTACGAAAGAATGCAGGCTATTCATTACATTCACTTCGTTTTCTATAGCTCATACTTAAATAGGCACGGCGTATGAAATGAATAACGCTTTTGTCAAGTTTTCAAATGCTTTTTTGCAAATCTTCAATTGAGTAATATAAAGAATTGAAGATAAGTTATTTTACTATATCTCAGTTCATCATATGATATTTATGGTAGTTTATATATTTCTGTTAAATATCCACTAAAACCTATTTTCTGCTGCCAGTTATTTGTTCATTGCCGCCGGCATCCACTACACCATGGGCTTCAAGAACGACGACGTGTTTTATACGCCTTTGCCGCTCTATCACACCGCTGGTGGCATCATGTGCATGGGTCAGTCGGTGATCTTTGGCTCCACGGTGTCCATACGCAAGAAGTTCTCGGCTTCCAACTATTTTGCCGATTGCGCCAAGTTCAATGCTACTGTAAGTGATTCTTAGTGCCATTTCTGTTCATCAAACTTACCATCTCTGCCCGCACAGGTTGGTCAATATATTGGCGAAATGGCGCGCTATATCCTGGCCACTAAGCCATCGGAATACGATCGTGCGCATCGCGTGCGTTTAGTCTTTGGCAACGGTTTGCGTCCGCAGATTTGGCCGCAGTTTGTGGAGCGTTTCAATATAGCCAAAGTGGGTGAATTCTATGGCGCCACCGAAGGCAATGCGAACATTATGAATCACGACAATACTGTGGGTGCCATTGGCTTTGTCTCACGCATATTGCCCCAGGTATATCCTATATCGATAATACGCGCCGATCCGGATACTGGCGAGCCCATACGTAACAAGGATGGCCTCTGCGAGCTATGTGAGCCCAACGAACCGGGCGTCTTCATAGGCAAGATCGTCAAGGGCAATCCGTCACGAGAATTTTTGGGCTATGTGGACGCCAAGGCATCGGCCAAGAAGATTGTCAAGGATGTGTTCAAGCATGGCGATATGGCATTTCTCTCCGGCGATCTGCTGGTCGCTGACGAGAAAGGCTATTTGTACTTTAAGGATCGCACGGGTGACACATTCCGCTGGAAGGGTGAAAATGTGTCGACCAGCGAGGTCGAGGCTCAGGTCAGCAATGTGGCTGGCTACAAGGACACCGTGGTGTATGGCGTAACCATACCGCATACCGAAGGACGCGCCGGCATGGCTGCCATATACGATCCGCAGGGTGAACTCGATTTGGATGTATTTGCTGCGAATCTTGCCAAGGTGCTGCCCGCCTATGCGCGTCCACAAATACTGCGACTGCTTACCAAGGTGGATTTGACGGGCACCTTCAAGCTGCGCAAGGTGGATCTGCAAAAGGAGGGCTATGATCCAAATGTGGTGAAGGATGCGCTCTACTATCAAACGTCCAAGGGACGCTACGAGCCGCTCACGCCCAGCGCCTACGAAAAAGTGCAGCGCAACGAGATACGATTTTAATGGACTGTAATTACCACTCTCTTTAGGGTTCTTTTTCTTTGGTGATTTTACACCCTAATGCTGTTAATTAATTTGTAAGCGTCTTCAGCAACCATTCCCCACTTTCGGGCTTATGCACACATCCAAAGCTTAGCACTTTTGTATTGTTAATATACACATATATACATATATGTATCTAGTATATAGTTGATTTGTGCATTTTTTTTTTTAGAAACGCATTTTATATTGTTTTGTATACGTACCAAAACTTTGTCTAAGTGCAATTCGTATGTGCGAGTGAGTGTGCGTGTATGTTTGTATATCTTATTGTTAGTCGTTTAGTAGCATTTTTTACCACATACCATTTTATGTAGCCTGTACATATGAGCAGCCAATTGGTTTCTGTCCCTTATTCTATTAAACTCTGCGCCCCAGCGTATCTATCAAATAAAGTTCTACATCAATTAGTTTTATTGAAAATATTGCGTTTAATGCGTTTCTCTCAATATGTCACCATAATATACTCCACCTGCATACAAATTATAAATGTTACCAGTCTGGGCGAAACACGTAGTCGTCTATAGCTTGGCCGCGTACTTGCGCTTTTGCTATCAGCTGCAGTGAACTTGAACCTCAACAACATGCATTATGATTGGCATTTTGCATGCAGCATGCTTTGTGGAGATCGAGCTTAAAGCTAACAACTACTTTAACAAGTTGACAAAACAAAACAAAAACTAGCAGGCTGTTCAGCTGTATGTTTAATATTTGACATGCAGATTAAACATGGAAAAAATACTAAATCTAAGCTTAGCCGCAACATTTACGATTTGTTTATATTTACTTTTCAGCTTGTACTTTGGCCCTACACGATCTTTAACCCTAACTTGCGCAATTTTTGTATACAGTAGATACGAGGTTCCCATGTATTTAGCTTTCCATTTTTAGTTTCAATTATCGGTTAAGAAAATCAATTCATTTGTGACTGAATAGTTACGATTTCGAACTTTAACAGCAGAATGTGTTTTAGAATTAATAGAACATAATTGAACTACATGCGACACACAATTGAACAATTGAGAGAGAAATATTACTAATTATTGGATTCTGTCAAGCATGTCCAAGCTATACCTAAATATATAACAATAAAATATAATAGATATTATAACCCAATTATTCTAGCCGTCCAGATACACCCCTTTTTAATAGAGGAAAAGTCTGGGACGGGTAAGATATTAGTTCATACATCGACTATATCTTATAAGCATCCTTTCTCCGTTGGGCTTTAAGCACAATTCTGAAGGTCTTAGAAAAAGCCACTATCACGGCCTAAGCAGGGCAACTAGGGCAGCTGACCCTAATCAATAAATAAACTAATCACTAAAATAAAATTATACAAATTCCTGTATAATCTTCGTGGTTATTATACGGGGAATACCCGCTGAACAAATATTTAAAACTTGAAGTTTTTCGATACAGATCACAGAATCCATTAACTAATAATAAAAAACGACGATATCATAAAACAATTTGTTAATAACAAACAAGGTTTATTTTCATTGAATTCGTTTGAAGCAAATGCCTAAAAAACAGATTACATATTTTCATTTAAAGCGAAACTATAAAAAAACAAGAGTTTTCAGTGCGTTGTAAGCTTAAGTAAACAAGCCTGGCGGGCGGGCAGGGCGGTCGGCTATCCATAAAAAGGAACACATTAGACTATATGCCAAATATATATACGTATATATATGAATAGTAGAGAGATTTGTGCGTTTTTGTGTGTGGGCAAAAACAAAGGGCCAAAAAAATAAACGTTTACAGTTTGTCGCTACAGCTAAACGATAATTATATAATTAAGTCTTTTATAAAAATCACAAAAATCAACACGAACGCTCCCACGGGGGGCAGCCCAATAAGATCCCATGGGGATCACAGCTTGCACAGGCAAAATAGCAGCGGTATGAACGCCCCAATGGCAATGAAAACTGGCATTAAAATGGAGGAGTCATCCATTGAATAGGGATTTGGCTGACGTGGTCCACTGCGCGTTCGCTTGGAGCTCTGCGTCGACTGTTGTTGTTGTTGTTGTTGCTGCTGTTGCGACTGCTGCTGCTGTGGTTGTTGTTGGTGCTGGTGACGTTGCGGCATTTCGGGCTGCGGCTCACCCTCCTCTAAATCGTATTCGTCTTCGTCCTCATCATCCTCGTAGCCTCTTTGCACCTGCCGCTCATTGTAGCGCACAATGCGCTCCTGATGCTGTTCATTATCACGTGGACGCGGCACGCGCGGCTTGTCCTCCTCTTCAGGCTCGGCACGCCGCTCACTGGCCACGGTATTGTGCAGGCGCGGCAGCTGGGAGACATCGCCCTTGAGCAGGGCGAACGCATTGATCTTCGGATTGTCCAGTGCGCCCTTGATAAAGTCCAGACGCAAACGACCATTGCGCACATCCGATGTCTCAATTTCACCCTCGTACTCGTAGTGCAGCCGTCCGTTGATGATCTTGAAGTAGACAATCTCATCGTGGGCCGAGCCGCGTCCCACCTGATTGTAGATGTCCAGCTGCTTGACCACCGTGTGCTTGCGATTAAGCAGCACATCGAATACCTTGCGATTGGGCGCATCGAAGTAGACCTCGCAGAACTTCATGATAAGCGCATAGTCGCCGTCGCCATCGGCGGGAAAGTCGTAGCCGAAGGTGGTTGTGTGATAGCGTTCGGTGCGGTAGAGCACCTCGTCCTGCTCCGGCACGCGGCCTATCATCAGCAAATGCTTGCCATAGTCCGAGGAAATGCCCACGTTCAGCGGATCCGCCTCGTAGTGTATGCCGTTCTGGTCTGTGTGGTCATCCCCGCCCGCATTTACAGCGTAGATCACTTTCAGCGGCTCCGACAGAGCCACATGCAGCAGGCAGGACAACACCAGGAGCGGCAGCATTAACCAAATTGAACAACTTGCCCGCAAGTTGTTTACATTGCGTTTGCCTGCAACGTTGCACATGTTGTTTCCAGTTGTTGTTGTTGGGGTCGTTGCTTCAGCGACTTCGAGTTTACACTTCATTGCGTTTTTAGTTTGCCAGCTCGAATTTTAGCCGGACACGTGGCAGCGGTTTGATATGTACCGCCTACTTTCTGCTGACCATTAGTTTATCCATTTATTGAACAATATTTTATTCTAATGTGGGCTGCAATGCGTTAGCGGCAAAATACCAAAACTTATCACTTATCGAGAACTTACACAGCACTACAAGACATTTTGTATCACTAGCTGTTGCGCGGCATATTTGAATTAAGTTAGGATAGTACAGCAATTATACTAACACAAAATAAAGAAAAACTAATAAATACTAAATTGTTTACTTTTTGGCTTCAAGCTGCGTGAACAGTTCTATTTTGGTAAGAATTCGCCTAAAACTAAAGATAGTTTCGTATTCCTTATACATATCAGCTTAGTTGAATTGTATTAAACCTTAATGGTACAGCGGCTCATAATAAATGTAAATTTGCTGTCGCTTTCCACAACTTATTTTAAGGGTTTCATTTAAACATTTTTATGCCTATATAACCAATAAATTGAACCAAATTCGATTACATTTAAATCACTCAGCCTTCCCGCTTAATTGCTATTATCGAGCTATGTTGGCCGCAGCACATTCCGATGCAAGCTGCTGTTTATGAACACTGCTGCCATCGCGTTTAGCAACACTGTAAAAAGCAGCTACACGTGCGGTTTGTGATTTTGTATGAAAGAACTTGCAGAAAATAAGTTGTTATTGCTAAACATTTCTAGATTTAAAGTGTACAAGCAGTTAAAGCTGCTCCACAAGGCTGCAGAATTGGTACAGCCATGAATTTCGACGATGAAGACGGACTCGAGCTGCAGCATTTGGCGGGCGGCAACATTGTAAAACATGCGCCCGTTTTCTCTGCACAGGGAAGGTTAGTTTTAAACTGAAATAAAGACATATTAAGGCATAAAATAAACTTCCCATAAATCTGCATAGATTCGTCTTTGTGCGCTGCGGCCTCAAGGTGCAGGTGTTTGTCACCAGCACAGGAGAATTGACACGTGAGCTAAACGATGCGACGGCGCCATTAATCAGCTTGGAGCTGGACGTGCAGCAGCCGGAGCTGCTGTTGGGCTGCACCAGCACAGGCCAGCTGCTGCGCTGGCATTGGCGCACGGGCGTGCTGCAAAAGAACATTAAGTTGCAGCTGGGCACCGAAGGCCTGCAAATCCTCACGTGCAATCTGCTAAACTTGTACAAGGAGGGCGACACCGCGTGCGCCTTTGTCACGGTCAAGCGCAAGAGCGGGGAACAGATCAGCTGGTTCGTGGTGAACACAAGCACAGGCACTGTCATCGACATTAATTGTGGACTCCGATTAAAGTAAGTAGTCCTTTGTTTCAAGATTTTTATAAGAGTTGTGTTCAATCTGTTTTGAGGCTCTTCCGAGTCGTTGTAGCCCAGAAATATGCTCATATAGCTATTTTTCAACTGGTTTTAAAGTCTTTTTTAAACTCAAAGTATGTAATCCACATTAAATATCATATCCATATCTTTTGACTTTGTTCAGCAAATTGCATTTGTTTCTAATCGAACACTTCATTTGATTTCTCTCTGAATCACTATTAAACTTGTTTCTTAGCTCTCATTCAATGAAATTTTAGCCAAAATCAGTTTTTACACATTTCATAAATATCATAAACAAAATCTTATCTTCTTCACTCTTCAGTCTCTAGAAAGAATCTGGCTAAAAATGTGTTTTTGTTTATAAAACTATATTTTTGTCTCGCATCTTAACCAAGCTCTGCAAGTAAAGCCCTATCCTCATCGAACATCAAATGGTTCCCTTAGTCCCTTCTAGTTACTTACTTGTTTTAATATTTGTCAACCTGTTGCATTTGTGCATTTGCAGAGTTCGCGCCCCTTTGGTGGATGTGAGCAAGGGCGCCTTCAAGTACATAATACTGTCACAGGGCGTCTATGTTTACTTTCTCAACTATGTGAACTGGAAGTTTATGCGGTTTAAGAACACACACAGTGCGCCCATAACGTGTGTGCGTTTGAGTCCCTGCGAGGAACTGGGCGCCACTGGCGACGAGTCGGGCCGGGTCATCATCTGGCGTCAGTTTGGTCATCAGGAGCGTGTGCTCTGCACGGAACACCACTGGCATAGTACGGCCGTGACCAGCATTGCGTTTACGCCCACGGGCGTCAGTTTTTACAGCGCCGGCCATGAGGCGGTGCTGGTCAAATGGACGCTGGCCAATCAGGACGAACGGCATTTTTTGCCGCGCATGCCCAGCATTATCAGGCACATTGTGATCAGCGATGGGAACGAGCATGTGCTCGCCTGCACCGACGACAATGCCCTGCAATTTGTGAGCCCCAGCGATGTGCGGCTCAGGTCTACGCTACAACATTTCACCTATGCGCTGCCCGACAAGACGGGCAAGAGCTTATTTCCCATCGGCCTGTGCCTCAATCCGCGCACAAACACGCTGGTGCTCAATGGGCGCATTGGAAACTTGCAGTTCTACTCGGCCTATACGAAGAGTTTGCTTTATAATGTATGTTTACTTCTCTTGTAATTTGTTTTTGGCTAATTTTGCTTTCGCTCTTAACGTAGCTGCGTGTGGTGGAGAACAATGTGAACTCCCAGGAGCCGCAGCGGATCATTTACAATACGTGTGTCACATGCGCCGCGTTCAACATTGATTGGATGGTCACGGGCGAGGTGTACAACGATCAGCGCAACTTTGCCGAGCTGCGTCTCAAATTTTGGCAATATCAGGAGCGATTACAAAGGTAGGCAAACTAATCGTAATTTAAGCAAAAAAGCTACGACCATTAAATCTAGCTTTAATTTATGCCATTTTTAATTTACAACTCACTTTTTGTTTTCTTCCATTGCAGCTACAAACTAAACACAAACATTGAGCTGCCACATGAACACGGTTTCCAGGCGATCATCTTTTCCAATCAGTTTCAGGTGGACAATTTGCGTTGTGCGAGCGCTGGCAAGGACAATGTGCTCAAGCTGTGGACGCTGGGCGATTCGGAGAACATTTACAAGCGTGGCAGCATGTGGAGCTGTGCGGCGCAGGCGAGCTACAAGCGACAGCCACTCGGCTCCATATGCTTCTCCCAGGATGGTTCACTGCTGGCTGCGGGCTACGGCAGCACGATGGTGCTGTACGATGCACGTACGCTGCGACTGCTGCATGCGCTGAGCACATCCGCTGGCTACGATGGCGTCGTGGCCAAGGCACAGCTGCGTCTGGCCCAGATGCCAGTGAATGGCACACGCACGGAGGTGACGCAACAGCGCCAAAAGCTTTGGAGTCTGCTGCAAACGCTGCTCGACAGCGACGACCAGACGCTGGTGCAGCAGGCGCGTCAACTGATGGCCAGTGCGCCGAGCAGTCAGAGCAAGTCCAGCGACGAGCTGAAGCCCCAGGAAATTGCAAAGGAGTCCGTGTACAAGCACATTATGCAAATGTCCGAGTTGGGCCTGCATCAAAAGCTCCAGCTGCTGCGTCGCTTTGGCATTGAGTGCACCGTGCACGAGGCCTGCCAGAAGCGACTCAAGGCTTATCTGCAGAACTGCCTGGTGGATCCCATTGCGGTACAGCTGCGTTTGCGAACGCTTGAGACGCGCTTGCACCGACTGCATCCTCGTCAACGCTTCAAGGCGAAACAGCGCCTGACACGGCTAAGTAGCCGGCGGAAAAACTATGAACAGCTGGTCCGCCAGGAGTTGTTGCCGCTCTTCAGCGTGCTGCATCTGGACGAAACCACGAAAGCAGCAGCACCGACGTCAACCAAGCGCAAACGCTGGTCAACACAGCCTGGCAAGAAACTGGCCAAGGTGGTGCCGCTCCAGAGTGTTGCCCAAATATCGCAAGTGCAATTCGGCGCTGGCGCGCAGGCCCACCTGGTGGCCGTCTGTACCGAGACGCGCGTACTCATCTGGAACCTAATGACGCTGCGTCTCCAGGCGGGCCTCAAGCTGTCCGTGCAGCAACTGGCCTTTGATCCGCTCACCAATCTGATAGCTGCCATCACACGCAACGATGAACGTGAGTAATTGCCGCCGTTTGGGGAATCTCTTACTAATGCCATGGCCTTGTTCCGTGTATCTAGTGCACGTCTTCCAGCCTAATGTGCCGCTGCCCGTCTATCAGCGCAGCAATTTGCCCAAGATGCACGGTTTGGTCTGGCTGCCGCGTCGCCAGCCCAAGCAGAGCTCCATCAATGTGGACTGGCAGGCGCAGTCCACGCTGCACATGCTCACCCACGACAAAGAGATTGTCTACCTGGCCGCGCCGGGACACAGCACAATGGATGATGCGCCTGCGCCGATTTCCTTTGCCCAGCCGCCAGTTACGGATCAACTGATGCAATTCGCCACCTTCGGCAGCTTTGTGGCCAAACAAAAGTCCAGCGACATCGCAGAAATTGCCCAGAACAATGGTCCACTGATTGTGGGGCGCAGCGCACATAGTTCAGTGAATGCGGTAAGTTTTCAGAGGCAACGCAAATCATCGAGGGCATAAAAAGTTGACTAGCCTTTAGCTTATTGTACTAACAATTTTGAAATATCTGCGACAGTGCTTAAAATTGATATTTCACTATAAAATTGACAATTTTCTAAACTTTGCGTTTCGCTAAAACAAAACTATCCCTTTTAAAGTCCATTTATAATCCATTAATATTCAACTGTATCAAAAATTGAAATTTCGTTTGAAATGTTATGAAATTGAATAATAGCTTAGGTTTTGTATTCTCAATTGTTTACAAATTGGCTTTTTGGATATTTTTATAACAGACAATATTACATGAAGTCAATTGCGACAATGTTTCATTCTCTAGTTCCCTTTTACTTATCGTACGGCCTTTGGATTTGGGATAACTTATGACAATATGTTCCATTTCCACTTGTTCCTAACTTGGTATAAATTTTTACAATTGTTAAATTCTAAAGCTAGGCTATGTAACACTGCAGGCAACTTAAAAATAATTTGTTCCATTTCCACTTGTTCCTTTCTTATCAATCGTGTTTTAAAAAGTATTTAAAACAAGGCCGATTCTATGTTTATTGATGAATCCCATCCAAAATCTGATTGTGTTTCATTTCCGTTCATTACTTTCAATAGAACAGCGCAGTTCAGATTCCAGATTGTCAGTCTCATATAGTTTTATTTTATTTTCACTTCCGCATATTCTTTGTCAGCAATTAACAATTTTCTATTGGTCGATCTATTTTAATTTTGTTATAATGAAAACTTGAGGAACAAACTTAAACAATTTGTGTGCTAGATTTGATATGTTTCTCTTCTTGGCATATTTACTTGTATTTTTTGTTGTCTTTTTATTGAAACCTTACGTGCTATGAAGTACAAGTGGTTAGACTGTCTTAAGCTTAGATTAAATATACAAATTGATATATTTGTTTTTAGGTTTTTTGATTTTGCTTTGGTCTCGCTATAAATCCTCTTGAAATTCTATTTGTAATTGTAATTCGTCTTGTTGTTCAGTCGTGTGCATTTGTTGTTGTTGTTGTTGTTTTTGGCTTAATTCATTGCCGGATCGCCACAATTTCTATTTCTTCCTCTTGCGTATGGGTCCATCCCCAAGACGTGGCGCCGTTGGAACACGCAAATGCCGACAGCGCCTCATCATGAGCACGTCGTGCTTAAAGTAGCGCAAACAATGCCATTGGGGCACCTTGGGCATTAGCTGTTGATGCTAGATGATGTGTGCAGGAGAATATATAGAAAATATATAGAAAGACTTTAGTTAAATAAAAATAGGATCTATAGATAATTTGTTTGCCCATCATCATGCTACCGGAAGTCTATATATTGAGTTCCTATATTATTTCTCAATTGTTGTAATAATTGAGCATTTCCTAGATGGTTTTTTTTGGAATAATATTGAGACTCTCAGATCCATGTCTCTAAGATCAAGTGAAGCATTTTAGGTTAGGATCTAGCTTTTCTGGGATCAGCTTTTTATCATATTTGCTGATTGTTCAGTTTTGTTGTGCAAGCCAAATGGCTTTTTTTGTTGCTATTTTCAACTCAATTTAAATAATTTCAATTCATAATAATAACGCCATTCTCTTAAAGTCGAAAGGCGCAACAGTTTATTTCTGGATGCCTTTCAATTGGATCTTATTTAAAGCTTGACTGGAAAATTCTGCCCTACCAGCATGGCAACTATATTATCATAGAATTTATCGGGTTGGTATAGGTCTAGTTTGGATAGTTGGGCAGATTCGCAAGGTTTCTTGACTTTTCAGCTGAATTGGGCTGTGCTCAAAGATCATTAAGGGCTGTGCATTAATCACTTTGTTATTTTGAAAATTTTTGAAAACACCTCGAGTTCTTCGCAGAGACATTGATAAGGAAAGTCACTCCGCATATTATATAAATAAGTGGAATATTCTGATCATATATAAACAGTTAAGCTCTATAAATAGTCTTGCTGATTAACAGCCGCCCAAGTCGTGTTCACGGCTTTATTGTTTGTTAATTAGAAAGTAATCTTTTAATTAACAATTGCACTGGCAATCAACATTGTCGTAATTTACCCTTTGTGGGTTAATACCCCGGAATACAGTAAAATCACATTGTAACAAAAAGCAAATGCCTTAGCTCGTAACTTCTTGCACTTGCTTGTCCCCACACTCCACATTTCGCCGCACGCCCCGAAACTCACCTCATTCACAATTGGCACGGGTCCAGCTTGCGCCCAGGCACATAACAATGCAAGGCAGAGCAGCGAAATGACGGCAACAAAGTTTGGCCACATTTCGGTATTTTTGGACTTCACTTAAGTGCACTTTTTGTATTCTGCTTCTTTTTGCTTTGCTTCAATTGTTTAATAATAATTGAACGGTTTATTGTCAGCGACGGGTCAAGTGTCGTTTATGTGCCGCGAACTTTTTTCTTGTGTTATTATATTTCCGTAAACTTTGCGGCACGCGCTTCCGTTTGCCTGGCTGCTTCAGTCACGCTCTCTCCGGCTTTGCGCTTCTGCTGCTGCTGCTGTTGTTGTTTGTGCAAAATACAACGGCACAATGTTGAACGGCTGTTGGCGCTCAATGCAATTTATACGCCGCGCTGTTGCTACAGCGGCGCCAGCAGCAGAAGCAGCAGCTTCGTGCGTGCCGCGCTCTCATAATTCTAATACACGAAGCTTTGCTCATAAAGTTCGGTTTGTTATTGTTGTGTGCGCGTGCTCCTCCTCTCTCTCTCTCTCTCCGACGCTCCATTTATCGCACTCCCACACATACATGAGCGCTGCATTTACTGCAGTTGCCAGTGCAAACACACCCACTCCAGTGGAGCTTGCGCTCACAGTTGCGCTCTCACATCACTCAATACACGCGTCTCGCTCCTTGGCTCTTTTGTTGTTCAATATGTTTTGTTTATGCGTAGCTGCTGTTTTTGTTGTTATTGCGTGCTTCGCTCTTTCTAAGCTCATTATGCTGTTTAATAAATATATAGTTACGAGCATTTGTTGTGGCTACTTTATGGTTGAGCTCTCGGCGAGTGCTTTTTCCCCTGGGGCCCGCGTGGGTTGACCCACTGTAATAATTATAATGCGAGCACTTGTCGCTCATTGCCTTAATTACATTATGTGCATATAGTTACATTAATGCATTACATACATCGCTTACATATTTTTGGCTATTTTATTTGGGTCAGTCTTCAACTAGTTTAAGTTGGTTTCGTCAAGTTGCAATTTACGAGTGTAAATTGAGTATTTTTCAGCGGCTCTGACTCAGTTTGGATTCATTTGGACGCTGCTTCCTGCTTAAATATTTGTTAATTAATAATTCAGTAGAAAATGCAACTGAGTAATGCGTCTGCAAAAGAGCACATGAAACAATCTTATACAATTTATAATTAACCTAATAATTGGGCAAGACGCATGCGCCAAGGTTACCAGATCGCAGACACTTTGACAGACAAACGGACGGCAATGACAAACTCATAAGCCAATGCCAAAACAACAACAGCCCGGAATAAGTCGTATTAGAGCATGAGATTATGAATTTTGAGCGCTGAACTTGAACCATAATCTGTACTGGTACCAAAAAAAAAAAATTTTTTTTTTATAAATTGACAAGTAATCACAACAACAATAATAATGGATTTAAATCCAACTAACATAGTTTTTTTTTCTATTTTGAACTTTGACAAGGTCAACGCCAATTAATGTTCTCTCGAATTCATTTCAGTTGGTCAACTTGTCCGCCCATACGATGCCTGCCCTGAGCCTGATTTGCGGCGAATTCATCAAATCGCTGCTAACGCCTGCCGAGAGCACAGTTAGACATAACGCAGCTGCGGAAGAGACGCTCAGCAATGGCAAATTGAATGGCAATGGGCTTCTGCACGCTGGCAGCGATGCAGAGGAAGAAGAGGACGAGGCGGAGCACGAACAGACGCAGCAGGGGGAACAGCAAAAAGAAGAGGTGCGCAAAACGTTGCTGGCGCACAACACAGCACTGGAGGAAGTGAGCACCCAGCAGGAAGATAGCCAGTTGTTGTTGGATGCGCGACTGCAGCGCATTGCGCAGCTCGAAGTACAGCTGGAATTTTAAATGTAGCATTATTGCATACTTCGCACAGAGAGAGAGACCAATCGATCCCTAACATGGTACAGCTATTGTAGGTGCTTACGTATATACTAGTTGTTGTAACTAATTTTGTGACTTTTTTGTATACAAACGAGACATATTATTATGCGTAACAGTTCTATAAAATATAAACTAAATGCAGTTATTTTTACAAGCAAATGTCTTTTAAATGAGGAATCTATGATATATATGATATTATGGACTATGTTAGGCTTTGCAGAAAGTCTGCTCTGCAATGTGAAGAAAGCGTGTTTATGTTTCATTCTGTATATTTCAGTTATCCTTTATATTGGTAGATTTATTTGTTTTCTAGGTTCCTTCTTGACTTATTCTTTGTTTCATCGAGTCGTTAATATTGATAGGAAGAACTTAATTGTTTTGAAATAGTTATTTCATTCATTTCAAACAAACCTTGTGTTTTGGGAGTATTACTCTCTTTAATGGTGTTACTAATCCCCACGCATATCTAATATTATAGATATACAATACTTACAATATGTTTACCCGAATATACGTCATTTATTTCAGATATTTAATTTGTATGTTATATGGAACCCATTTATGTTATAATTGATCAAACTAGTTTTGGTTCGATCTCGGGAAACGTTCCAGGAGCTAAACAATAAATCGTTTAAAAATTATTAGATCCTTAGTTATTTTTTCAAGAAATTAAAACATTGTTTCTTTTACTTAAATTAATGACTATAGCTTTAATATTTTCTGATAGTTTATGTAAAATGTAACAAAATGTAAATCGAAAGATGTTTAGAAATATTTGCGACGTGGTATGAGACCTGCGTGAGAGAGCACATTATAGATTTCCATGCGCGGTATCTTTTCCGCCTGGCGTTCAAGAACCTGAGAAAACATATAATAGAGAGATATGCGATATGGTAATATAAGACTCAGACTTACCACCTGCTCGCCGGGACCGAACCAGCTCGATCTGGCTAGGGCCTCCCGGACGCGTGGCGTCTTGTAGAAGGGATTCTGCAGTTGTTGCGGCAACGTTTGCTCCCAGGCGGCATTCTCCAGTACGGCAATGTGCTGCAAATTGTGCTGCGGACGTGCCGCAGCCAGAGCAATTAGCAGGATCGTTAGGCAGATCAGGCGATACGGCGGGCACCTGAATTGGAGTAGAGCAAAGTTGGGCACTCGATTAAGTTGGATGCGTAACGGGATCGCGAGCCGCATGTATTTCACTTGCTCGTGAATCATTACATAATTGTGGCGTGCATATGATATTACAAGTTTCCGCCTGTCACGCATATGCACGCATGTACCCCCCTACCATCTACCCCTACGCCAGCTCCGCTCCAATACCTGCTGCTCCCTCGGCAATAGCCAGGCTGGAACACGCCTAAAAACCCAAATGACCGCTTTTCACTGGACAACTAGTCAGCTGACTTGGTCCAGCAACAGTTGTCACTCGGGTACATACATATACATGCACATATATATAAATATATATATATCTATATACTTATATATCGGTCTGGCTGGTTAAAAGTTGTCGTCATCTGACCAACAGACGGCTCTCATTTCCTAGATGTCGCGTGCTGCGCCGCTTTGGTGCGTACAACACAAAGCTACACCACTTGGATTTGTAGACGGCCGGCCCACTTTTGTTGCAGCCAAACTATCCCTGATCTTTGGTTTTAATTGGATAACCGGCAGTGCAGTGCCTGGCTGCTTGATGCGCCACAATGATGATGTAATTTTTGGACTTGATATTGCCACTTGAGGCAACAGACTGCATACTGCATTTTTCCACATGTGCCTTCTGTGCCCTTTATTCGCCAATTCATCAATTACGTGAGCATCATCAGGCCTGGAGAATCTGCATTCCAGCCGGGCATTTTTTTGAATTAAATAAGCTTAGTTTATGTAATGTATCATCCAAAATTATAATATTCAATTAAATTTGACTAGAAGTTCGAATTTTGTTTCCTCCTTGAAGAAAATAGAATATTTTGTATTAAAGTTGCTTGTCAACAAAATATTCAAATAGTTTCTTATTGCTTAAAAGTTAACCATATTTAACAAATAGGTTAGGTGCCTACTAAATATAAACAGGCGTTCAGTCAGGTACATGTTAAAATGTCTGTTATATGAAATAAAAAGGAAAATTTTAAATGTTATGTATATATCTATATTTTAAAATAGATGATAATTTAGGCAGCAACATTTGTGATTAAATAAACTTAGCAGGAGGATACGAGGATACGAATAAAAAACTAAACGAAATATAAAATTTAGCTTGGGAATACCCTAATAATTTTAGAATGACCGTAGAGTCTTTTAACAATATCATGAATATGTGTATGTGAACGCTATTATTGTATGTCAACTTTGACAAGAAGATGAAAAAAGGCCAAAAGAAACCAAATAGTTGTTTTTGCTTACATATAAAGGAAATTTGAAAAGAATTGGGGCTTAACCAGACCTTAAAGTAGCTGACAACTTTAGCAGGAACATTGAAGCTTCAAAATAAAATAGGAAAATAATTTTAAAAAATTATAAGGAAATACAAAAAATTATTTTTTAACTATTACAAGTCTTAGCAGAAACACAGAGCTGTCCAGTTTCTTATAAACATTTCAATCAATTAACTAAATCGAGGGAATACCCTAATTATTTTACACCGTCGAGTAATTTGAAAAGTCTTATGAATAAGCATATGTGCAGCTTTTAAAGCTATTTTGAGCCTTTGAATAATTGCGGTTACTTCTTCCGCTTTGTGTAAAAGTGTGATAAACAATTGTTAACTTGAGCTAGTTAACAATTAAAGTTTTTTTCTCGTATTTATCACAACTTCAATGTAACCTTGTAAATGCTAAAAAGTTAAAGAAACAAAATTTCACACTCTTTTAAAACTTTATGAGCTCATTAATTGCCATAAAATATAATGTATGTAATGAGCCAAAATGCGGCTTCTTTAAGCCATGGCTGAAATTTCAAGGCCTTGAGGCCTTTCACTCTCGTCAGATCGCCAAAGTGGGTTCAGTGGCTGCAGTTGCATTTTGAGTTCCAGTTATTTTCCAGTTGTATTTCCTCATTGTATGCAAAGTATTTATGTGAGTGTAAACAAATTTGTGGGCACGTAGAATAACAATACGTCAATCTTTGTCAATTAACCAAGTGACCCAAATTTTCGGGAATGAACGAGAAGCGAAACTGCAACACGGACTATGCCAATTCGTTTCCATTGACCTAATCAAATATAACAACAACTTTTAAACACGTAAGTAGAGTCCGAATCCAAGTCTGAGTGCGATTCCAAGTCACACTCACAGCGTCAGTCTGAGGCACTTTACATGACACTACATGAATACACTTCAAAACCTGAAAAAAAACGTATATATATTTGTCGGGGGCGCTCAGAGTTTGCCAAGTTGAGTTGCATAATGCAACGCTGGAGGGGTCCACTGTCATGTCTGCGACGACAATAATGATGCTCATCATCATCATCATCATCATCATCATGTTGATCAGTGGCAATATTATGGGCAAATAGTTTTGTGAATGGAGCACTTAAGAATTTGATAATTTGTAACAAAAACTAGGCAATACGTTAGGAAATAAAGTTGGAAGCAGCTAAATTCTAGCATTTATTCAGAAAGTAAATTGGAATGCACTTTCAGGTGGTTCGGAAAACTCACTTCCGCATGCGACATTGTAATTTGTGTCACTTTTTATCAGGTTTGTTACAGAAATTTATGTAGGAAAATTCAATGGGAGCCGCCAGAAACCTCAGCAAGGGCGGTATCGAAAAAGCCTTAACTATATTTGGTTTATGAATCTGTCGTTGAAGACCTATGAGAGAATAGATAATGGTTCTCTAAAATTTCATTATATTTTTTGTGAAGAAAGCAGATTATTGCCTCTTACATCTCAGCCATGAATGCACAAATCATAGTATTTGGGATAGTATTAATGTTTATGCAAATAAAAAATTAAATGTTGTAAATTTGTTATATGCTTATTATATTATCTGATTAATTGCATATAACCAATTTATTTATTTTTTTTTTATTTGCATTCATTCTTTTAAGAGTTGTCCATTATCCAAAATATCCATTCCATACAATAAAATTTGAATTATGTAATTTACTTTTTGATTATCAAATTTGTCAATTTTCACTTTCAAACAGTTTCACATATGAAATAGAATGACGAGTTGTTGCCCAAAATTACGATAATCAATTACCTCATCGATAAAATGTCGTCAATTTATAGTCAAAATTAATATTCACTTCTTGTAATGCCCTAAAGACATGACGATACCCTCATTGTAACCGGCAGCTTATTAAATGTTTTCTTTGTATACCCTGCATACGCAAAACTGGAGCTAGGCATTTATGGATTACAGATGGAGTTTGTAATGTATACATACATATGTACATATGTCTGGTTATATACCCTTATCATTTTGGCATGAAATGTGCAACGCATAGAAAGAAACACCTCTGTTTCCATAAACTATATATATTCTAGATCAGCATCATTAGTCGAGTTGATATAGCCATGTCCATCTATCCGTCTGTCTGTTTTATTCACATATCTTGACCAAAATAGGCAATTAATATATGCACTATGTTCCCTAAATATATGTAAAATCTTACCAACATCCGATTATCGGCCGAAAATAAAGCTATTTTTGTTTATTCAGATATTTTAACTTAGCCCCTCATTTGGTAGTTAAACTATGCTGCTTATATATGAACCAAATCTTAGCAAGTTCGCAAAAATCGGTTTAAAAATTAGTTTTTGTTGTCGAATATTGTGTTTTCCAATATATATTGCAAATGGAAAATGTCTATAAGGGTATTAAGTCTTCGGCGTGTAGCATATATTCTTACTTTCATGTTTTAATATTGACTTAAGATGTCAAAGAATTTTTTATAATTTTGTATCTACACTTTTCTATATAAGAAATATCGAATTTTAGTCAGAGCTTAAGAGTTATTGTGCTGACTTTGGGTATACGTATATTTTTCAACTTGAAAACATAAAAGTAATTAAAAAATTAACACAATATTATTATATAAGTCACGCCTGTTTACAGAGTATCTGTTAGTCAAGCAGCATTCTAGTTTGCCTGGAAATTGTGGTTTCTTTAGAATTTTCTTCCTTTATGCAATTAAATGAAAACAGATGACAATTACAATTAACTTTAGCATAAACATTGCACACGAAAAATTGCAGTATTATTTTGATATATTTATAACTTTTTCGTTGTTGAGCATTTTGTGCGTTTGTTAATAAAACGTGACCGTTAAACTGAATTATGCGCCATGAACTACTGTCAATTTTTATTGTTTTGGCTTTTTGTTTAACGCTTGTCAAAGTTTTTTGCGGTTGTAATTGTTGTGATAGGTCAGATTGTTTATGGTCATTTGCATTGCGCCTTCAGCTGCGCAGTTGTTGTTGTTGTTGTTGTTGTCGTTGTAGTTGTTGTTGTAGTTGCCTGCAACTATTTCGCTTTGGCGGACAAACGCAAATAATTTAAATTTTTATCAAGTATTGGCAAACTTTTTCGGAGCTTCAATTGGTGAATGTCAGTTGAAAATGCATGGTTGGGAATTTTGCAAGGTTTACTTTTGAAAGATGTCTCATGACTGAGTAATTTTGTATGAAACTGAAATAACTTTTAGATAAGTTGTTTAATTGCGTTCAAGCTTCTTTCGCTAAATTTATTTAAATAATAAATGCTTAGCAAATTTTTAACTTTCACATTAAATCTGAATTTCACCTGCGAAACTCACATTTTTATATTATTTTTACTAATTATTTTCGCGCTTCTGCTTGTTGCTGCTTCTTGCGATTTTTGCTGCGTAATCCTGTCAAGCACAAAATCGTTATGTTTTGAGATCTCTTCACGTGTAATTTAAGCGGCAACAACTTGTTGGTATGAACGCGGCCGGTTGCCAACTGAATTGTGCGCTTCGAGCCAGCTACGACCATAGCCACAAAGCCCACGAAAAGTTGGAAGGCAGCTTTAAATTTGAAAGCTTTAAAGTCAATACCCAACTAGGAGATACGCTATCGATAATTGGCAACTAAACTGATCAGTGATCCCTTCCTACTTGTTAACATGTCACACTTGGCAAATCGATATGTATCGAGTCAGAGGCTCAATATCTATCGATCTATAAATTCGATTTCTATCAATTTTGAATTATAAATATTTTATAGTTGTCCATATATATCTCGATATTTTTGTGCTTGGAAAATTATGTTTTCAAATTAGTAATTTGATATAATCGATTTAAATATTTGTATTATAGAAAAGTGATATTTATTATATATATTATATTATAGACATTCGAAAATGATTGATTCATTAAAAACCATTTTTGACAAGAAAATAATAGTAGTTTTCTTGTCCAATATTAACCGAAATGTTAGGTTTAATTTTTCGTGCAATAAGTTATTCGAGAATTCGACATGATATATATATATGTACAAAAATGTTATATTTAAATTATGCCTAATGGCAAAGTGTTCAAAACAACAAGAATTTGAAAAGTAAATATGAAAGGAGACTGTCCTGATTACCATTTAATTAAAATAGATGGACAAAAGCTTCATTCATAATGATTCTATGTCCTTATATATCAAAACTAGCTTCTGTGATTCTTTCGCTCCTACAAAACAAAAGAATATATCGATCGGATTGTTGATGATGATCTGGAATACAACTTGATCAAAAACGGTTCATACGAGGTGCATAAACAAATACATAAGTGTAATAATGTATTGGAGTATATTATTTTTATACCATGAACCCATTAAAAATGGGTATAAGGGTATATTGTATTTGTGCGAAAGCCAAATGTATGTAACACGCAGAAGGAAGCAACTCCGACCCCATAAAGCATATATATTCTTGATCAGCATAAATAGCTGAGTCGATCTAGCCATGTCCGTCTGTCTGTCCGTCCCTCCGTATGTATG